TACATCATTGTAGTATTTGTTATACTGGCTTTAATTTATGCTGATTTAAATAATAAAATATTACATTTAATGCAAAGATACTGAATGCGAACTTACAATAAGGTAAATTATTTTTATGATTTTTTTATCACAACTTTTTATTTTTGTCAAATCAACTTAGATAATTGTGGTTCAGATAACAACATCTTGAGTTTCTAAATTTAATTTCAATGAACTCAAAATTTAAGGCAACCAATAATATTTTTCACCGTGTGTTAGTTAACATTAATTATGCATTACCTAACATGGACTAAAAATAAGCAATACAATATTTATCCATCTTTGTTAACATTAGTAAACAAAACAAAACTGGTAATTGTTACTTCATGTTAACTCCATACAATGATAATAACACAACTTTTGATTTTAATAATGTAATAAATGTAGAAATTAACATCAACTAAGATTCATAAAAGCTTCAGAAATGTTTATGAATATTAAAGTGCAACCGTTCCAAAATTATCATCAAAAATGTCTGCACAATAATTGAAATGATCAACGACAACTTATGCTTTTACGTTGCTTTAACTCATTAAAGTTTCAGCTAATCAGCAGATTCAACAAGATTCAGTTTAATGTAAAGTTGAAATGACTTAAACATACAAGTTGATTGTACTTAAAAATTTAAGGCAGCATTTTTTTTTTTACAATTGTCATGAAAATAATGCAATTTTCCTTTAGGATTTTGGGGTGAGATATGCCGATCTTTACGTCCAACCACAATTTGTTGATTCGGTCAGTCAACCTTTCTAGATTCGATAGATAAAAGGAATATTTGAAACTATTTCTCGCTGTTTTACCTGCAAATTTTCAGAGAAACGTCATCATATGTGCCGAGATCCCTGAGATTTACATGCCGGCAAATTGTTCAATATTCTAATCATCTTAATGAAGGTTGAGGCGGTTAAAACGACAGCCAATCAGTGAGAGTATGTCCCAGCCCTCCGGCCACCGATGACCCCTGACCCCCCGAGTGACCCTCAGGTCAGAGGTCAACTATCTCTGGCCACTCGCACTGGACAGGGTCGTCTCCATGGATACAGGTCTCCGGAGGCTGTGGGAGTCATGGCGACGACCCCTGTTTCCCGGGAAAACCTTCAACTCCACCTGCTGGATTTAAACACAGCTGCGATATAATGTTCATTACATCAGTTTTGCAGACTGTTCTTTATTCTTCACGTTTATAACAGTGATCTATTCTGTACAGTTATTCTTTTCTAATGTAATTTCCTTAGTAGAGAAATCACCAGTTAAAAACAGTTAAATCTTGTATTTTTCTTTCCTCTCCAATTCAAGCGACTGTGTTTCTTTGTCTTGAGAGTTTCTGGTCACGTGATCTCTCACAGCTTTAGCATTCATGGTGAATTATGGCCCTCTAGTGGTGGAGCATTATACAACACTTTACTGTCTAATCTTCTGCTCAGTAAACATGGTATATATATTATATTATAAATGTATGAATTGATCAGTTTTGTTAAACATATTCTATTCTATTATATTTATTTTATTAATTGTATTATATAAATTGTATTGATTATATTATACTTTACATGCACTGCAATAATTAACTATAAATTAAATAATTAAACATTTTCCCTTTTTCAGATCACTTTGAACCTAAATTCTTGATGTTGAAAGCATACATGAGTGTGTATTTGCTCATGTTCCAGTGCCCACGTGTGGAGGAATCATGCAAATCTAGGTGAGTTTCTGTCTCGTCTTAATTCATTCATCTGAATATTAATGGACAGTGTTCTGCTGTTGTTTGAAGTGAGGGATGTCGATATTGTGATAAACTGTAACTTTATACGTTCATTGCAGAAACACATCTGAATCCGTTTTTTAAAAGGGCCCCTATTATGCTATTTTAAAGTTTCCTATGTTGTTGTGGATTCTCCTTGACATGTTTACATGTCAAATGCAATATATATATATATATATATATATATATATATATATATATGAAGAGTTCAGATGCAAAAGCCTCTAAATGCCATTTGAAATTTTCTTCTTTAATGATGATTTTTTATCAAACTTGTATATTTAAGTTCAGTAATTTCACTTAAATAACAATTAATAGGGAATTATCATTGCCATTTAAGTGAAATTACTGAACTTAAATATACAAGTTTGATAAAAATCATCATTAAAGAAGAAAATTTTAAATGGCATTTAGAGGCTTTTGCATCTGAACTCTTCATATATATATATATATATATATATATATATATATATATATTACATTTGACATGTAAACATGTCAAGGAGAATCCACAACAACATAGGAAACTTTAATATATATATATATATATATATATATATATATATTATTTATATATTTAAATTATTTAAATTAAAGTTTTATATATATATATATATATACAAAAACTTTAATTTAAATAATTTAAATATATAAATAATATATTTATTTATATATATATATATATATATAAATACATATATTATTTATATATTTAAATTATTTAAATTAAAGTTTTTTTATATATATATGAAGAGTTCAGATGCAAAAGCCTCTAAGTGCCATTTGAAATTTTCTTCTAGAATGATCATTTTTATCAAGCTTGTATATTTAAGTTCAGTAATTTCACTTCAATTGCAATGAGGATTACCTATTAATTGTCATTTAAGTGAAATTACAGAACTTGAATATATAAGCTTGATAAAAATGACCGTTTTAGAAGAAAATTTCAAATGGCACTTAGAGGCTTTTGCATCTGAACTCTTCACATATATATATATATATATATATATATATATATATATATATATATATATATATACAAAAACTTTAATTTCCTCATAATATACTTTCCGTGAGCTGGAAGTTTTTTTGTTTTTTGTTTTTATCGACGCGCGCGCTGTATATGGTAAGCCAATCAATACAGCGCGCGCGTCGATAAAAAAAAACCAAAAAAACTTCCATTGGCATAACAACATCAGCTTTGCTTGTCTGTAACGAACGATGGCGTCGATACGGTCGGTTTTACCACATAAATGCGAACGCGAATCCGATGAAGAAGCACTGGAAGAGAGCTCGTTATTCACGGTTATTCAACCCGAACCTCCAACGCAAGGACGACTTGAGCACGACGTTTCTCAGCGATACACTACTCAGTTTCAGGTACATTGAGATGTTGCAACTATAATTCCTCACCAACAGCATTAACAACTGCATGTCCGTCAACAAACGGATTATTTTACTTGTACTAATTTATTTACCGAGTATTTTTCTAATATATTGCGGTGAATGCGTGGAAACAGTCACTTTCCCGCCGGAACAACCCCCCTCAGCCGAAGTGGCAAAAGATCTGCTGCGTGACTGGATTTAATAGGGGAAACTGCGAAAATGCGACTTACCCTACGTTCACAAACACTACGTTAAAACTAACAATTTTATCAATTTAAACTAAATGTTGGACTCAATATAGTGTTCTTTACAACTTACTAAAGATCCAGTGATCCATGGATATTGACATGCAGCCAGGAATCGTGTTGCCTGACATTTATGTTTGCCTGATTTCGACACCGTGGAAATAAAAGCAATATAGACCTAAAAAAGCAGATTTGCATGTGAACGCTTTATATAAATACACTAAAAAGGTCTAAATCCGGGTGATCACTGTGTTATAGCCAGTGTTTTAGCCAATATCATCATATGTCCACCCCTAAATCTTTATAGTTTTTTTTTTTTTGGTCAGTGTTCATTAAAAATCATCCAATAATGCAGAATATGCAATGATAAATATGTAATTGATGAGTTGTTAATATATATAACAGCCGCCATTTTGAAATTGACAGCGAGGCTCCGTGGGAAGAACCCCGGAAGTACAGATAAACAACAATGCCTTGAACTACCAACCTGAAGTTTGCTGCCACGATTTACATGGATGTTAATATCCAATATAGGATATCGTTCCTGCTTCTTTTTTAACATTCTGAATTATATATAAAAATATTTTTATTTACAATTGAATTACATTGTACTATGAAAGAAATGTACATTTTTGGAATAACTCATTTTTACATTAAATACAACAATACGCCATCGCATTCGTGACTCTCCTATGATTAAAGGCCACACTTCCGGTTTTCTTCCCACCGGAGCCTCGCTTAAAGCGGAGAGTCGCTTTCGATTTCAAAATAACGGCTGTGTGAAATCAGTGTATGTACATTAGCCAAGCTCTGACAGACAATCTGCATTAAGATTCTGACCAGCAGAAGTATTTCAGTAAGACGGTCATAATGTGAGTTAGCCAGTTAGCAGGAGACCAACAATATAAAACTCAAAACTAAGTATTTGAACACTATCTTTCAACAGCAAGCAGTTTGCAAATCCTGCATTAAAGTCTGAGATTTGAGAACCAGTCGTCAGTAAAATAAAGGGAACACAGCCAAAGTTTAGGATTATACTCAGACTAACTTTTTGCCTTGGTTGCACTGGTGCGCTTAACTTTTTTATTTAGGTGTGCACAGACACAGAATGGCATAGAGGATCCGGTAGATTTTTAAAAGAAAACACCCTGTGGAGACTGAAGAAGTCACCAACGCTCAGAAGTCTTTGACGCCGAGCTAGAGACGCATCAAAAACGTGGCGCTGACATTCTGCGCCGTAGACGGATCCAGTGGATTTTAGGGGTTAGATCTTTGAGTTCAGCTCAGGAAAAATAGGGGCAAAAACAAAAGTGTTGCGTTTACAGTGTAATAAGAAAGATCTTTTGTTCTTTCCCTTTCTTATTTCATTATTAAGTTAACCTCATACATATTAGCTGATTGTTAATAACAAATCCATTACAGAACAACTGTTTCTGAACAACCACAAATGTTTTTACACCTAGATTTTAATGTGATCAAGAGCAATGAGATTGTTATTCGATCACTTAAAGCTTTGATTCCCGGGGTGTCAGGATGTGAACTGCAATCAGGAAAAAAAATGCACTTGAAAGAATTTAAATCTGTCCTTTATTCAGAATATACATCATTTTAATACATTTGCTGGACAGTTTTCTTTTATATCATAGGTGAAATAGGACACATGCAATAATATTTAGGCCCTAGTCTTAGCATAATTATCTAAGTCACAAAATGATTCATAATCAGACTCAGAAATCAAAACCTGCACTGCATGTTGCAGGAATTTCAAATCACCTGTTTGCTGTAGTTTTTAACACATTCATGGAAAAAGCATAAGTATTTTGTATACATTTAGGAACTAATTATTGCTAACAATGATATTAGGAAATAATCCTTTTAAAGTTTCAAATAAGCATGCAAAAACTTTATTTTATTAAATTCAGAACTCCATATTATACAGAAGAGTTTAGTTGCATTTAATGGTTAGCTTTATGCATTTAATTATTAAGCTTTATAACTTTTTCTAACAGTCTAGCATTTCCTTTAAAGGTGTTCTGACTTGAATGAAAATATTATTCAAAAAGAACTTAAATTTGGGAATTTGAACTTAAATCAAAGAATAAAAATGACTGCTTGTTCAGATGTATTTGTCCAAACTCTCAATAGCATCCAGTTTTGTGTGTCTTCTCCATTCACTTGGAATCTCACCATGACCCTGAAATTTTAGTTTGTGGTAATTTTCCAGATCTTTCTGAAATCTGCAGACAACCCACTTCCAATATGACAGCTGAGTGAAGTCAGAGGTGATGCTCCATTTAGCATAATCCCCTCCTGCAGTTTTGTAATCTTTATATTTAATGGATTTTTTAGAATCATAAGATGGGTAAAAAGACAAATTACTTGACACTAGAGTTGTGCAAAAACCTGCACAAAGATCTTCTGTACCTCTATAATGCCACCCATTCAGTCCATTAATTCGATGGAAAGGGACACTGTGAGGTTGTGGATCATGGTCTTCTGCTGTATTGGTGCAAATGGCTTTACAGAACGGACACTGAACCCAGCAGCACTTACAGAGGTGTTCAATTAGTATCTCATCGGGCCTGTCCTTATAATCCAGCTTCGATGGAAAAGATTCTGTACTGAATTTCTTGCCAATGTCAGATATTATAGAAGGAATTTCTTTTATCATTACCTCTTTTAGGTGATTTACATCAACATCATCACGACTAACTCCTTTGAGGTCATTCTCAGAGAATTCCAGCACATCTGATAACTTCTCAGTGAAAGTCTTCAACCAGAGATCAGCATCTCCATGGTGTTTATTAGCCTCTTCGGTCGCTCTATTCACTGCTTCTATGATCCGCTTCTCCTTCTGTTTTAAATCATCGCTCATCTTTGGCCGAACACTGGTGTTGAAATGATCAGTGATGTACTGCTTGACTTCCTCTCTGATGAAACTCTGGAAGTGACTTTTGGGATTATGAATGTAGGTTTGGTATGCCCCAAAATCCTTCTTTTCTGCCAGTGTCTTTAGGATGCGTTTCTCCAGATTAGATCTGTTTCCACTCAGTGATTCACAGTTTGCTTTAATTTCATCTGCCACATCACGGGCAGTTTTTTTGTAGACACTCTGCTCAATGGGTTCTTTAAGTTTGTTACAGATGATCTCGCCTATGATCGTAGCTGATGTTGCCCCCTGGCAGTATTTCTGGAAAATACTGTAATATTCTCTTCTTTTTCTTGCAAAATACTGAACAGGATCATTGGCTCGCTTGAAAATGTTGTCCTCTCCCATGATTATCGTTTTTACTGTGTGCAATATGGCAAGGACCAAATCACTGAAGAAGTGTTTCTTGAACACGTATTTCTCTTTTTGTCTTTCCTCATAATCTGTTAATTTTGCTTTGATCAAACCACTGAGTTCTTGAATGTAACTTTTATTGTAGCCCATCTTTGCAATGTTTTTTGACTTGATATTTTTTGTTGCTTCCTCTGCAGTATCTGAAATTAAGGTTTTGATTTGAGTGTGATCATCTTTAGATAGAGAATATATATGTCCCAATGGATTTGTAAGAGATCTTTTCTGTTTTTGAGTCTGTACATACTCTGAATAGTCTGACATCATGAAAATATTGCACCCTTTGTTTTTCATAGAGGGGTCTGTGAAACTTTCATTGGCATCACCGAGGACCTCAATTGTATCTTTTAAAATGTCAAGGTCGGTCCCTTGAGGTGTGTCTTTCTTAATCTCATCTACACATTTTTCCCAAAATGAATCAAATTCTCTTTGCAGGATCGTCTCATTATTTGCTTGGTGTTTGAGAGTTAAGGCAAGATCTTTGGCCTTCTCAAGGAGAGCGTTTTCATTTTGTGTCCTCTGAGCGTCAATCTTTTTCTTTAGGTCTCGCTGCTGTAGCACCTCATTCAACTTCGACTTTGTTTCCCTAACAATGTTTTCCTGTATGTGGGAGATTTTTATTTCGAAAGAGTGTTTCCACTGAATCAGTATATTGTCTTTGCTGTCTTTCTCAAAGAATTCTGACATACATTTCTTCACTTCTGTACTTTTTACATTTAGTTTCTCTTGAAGATCTCTTTCCTCAACCGCATTGATTGCTCCATTTTGTATTTTGTTCTGTAATCTGTTTTCAATTTCCAGCATGGCCTTCCGAAGACTCCAGGTCCACTTACTGTATTCTGTCTCCAGTTTTCTATATGTGGTAATCTCCAGAGCATTTTTGAAGCTGAACACAAAGCGTTCGTTAAGTAAAGCATTCCAGAGATTTTGAATATGATCTTTGATGTGAGTCAGCATCATGCCTTTTGATTTTGAAACACAAGAAATAATAGTTTTCTTAAGGTCTTGAACATTTTCACAATATGAAGGGTTGGGTGGTGCCATTGGTGGGCTGCCCTCCCAGAGCTGAGCAAAATACTTCACATCCTTCTGTACATCAAATTGAATGACATCACTGAAACATTCTGCATTACAGACTTCATCTTCTGCAGCGAGTTTGGTCATCTTATCCAGTGTCTTCTGCAGATTTCTCCTTGCTTCCATGGTATTTTTTTCAGCTGTGACGTCTGAAACGTTCTGATGCACAAACACACAGCTGGGGCTTAATCTGACCTCCTTCATCCTCATGAAGGCCTGAACAACAATCTGAAGAATGTCCTGCATCTCTGTGGGGTTTTCTCCATAGATGTTGATCAATGTCAAATTTCCAAGGCCAATAACAAACGTGGCCAATTCATTGTCATGATGTCTTGTTGATGTTCCTGCCAGTTCTTGAGAACGAAGTCCCTCAGTATCAACAACCAGAATATAGTCAAAGTTCATCTGTTTCTTCATCTCGTCTGAAACTTTGACCAGCTGCATGAAAGCTCCTCTGGTGCACCGGCCAGAACTGACGGCAAACTGGAGCCCAAACATGGCATTCAGCATGGTGGATTTCCCAGAGCTCTGAATCCCTAAAATGGACAGAACAAAGACTCTCTGGTCTCCCAGTTTCCAGATGAGTTCTCCTAGAACAGCAGGGACCCAGTCCTGAGGAACATGACCAGCATCTCCATCCATCAGCTCCAGTGGAAATCCAGAGATCATCATCTCTGCTGCAAGACCCGGGAGAGAACGGTAGTCGATCTTCAGGTCTTTCTTGTTCTTCTTCATAGATGAACATGATTCATAAATCTGTCCAATTTCTCTGAGGATGTGCTCCAATCCAAAGGCTGCAGCTTGAAGTTTCTTAGATAGTTCCACAAGTTCAAGATTGAGTGTTTCAATTTTATCAAGATTGTCTTTCAGTTTTATGTTTGACCACTTTTCATCATACTCATGACGCAGACGAGAAAGGTCCACTGAGGTATATTCATCCAGGAGTATTCTGAGCCATTTAAGAAAAAACTTTGACTCATTTGCAGCACCTGAGTTCATTTGTTCCACGAATAAATGTATAAACTTACTTATGTCAGATTTATGCTGCAGTTCACGGACTTTCACCATCTCAGTTTTTTTTTTACTAATTTCCATTTCTGGGTCATCTCCTTGTGGTCGATGTAGTTCTTTATTCTTCTGACACCACTGATGCCACAGTTTGCCCTGACAGGGCAGAAATAATTCTTTAATTTTTGTCAGATCTTTTTTCTCCAGTAGTTTCACCATTTCTTGAGCTCTTTCTCTTCCTATTCTGCAGTCATCAACATATTCCTGATCTACTCTGATGTCTGTGTGTTTGGCCACATTTTCAAGTCTGAAAGTGGAGGGTGATTCTGAAGATGGGAATGAGAGGCTGTCTGTAATAGCTTCTCTGAGATCTTTAGATATATCTGCTTGACCTCTGCCTTTCAAACCAATTTTATATTTTCCAATCCCCACCTCGGTGTATGGTGAATCATCGTCAGGAAGAAGGCAGATCAGTGGCTTTCGGTCCTCGTACAGTTTTTGGATTTTCTCTGCACTTTTGTCATTTCTGTCTAGTTGTGGTAAAACAGCAACTTTGACTGAGGCCATTTTAGTCATTATGTGCATCTGTTCATCATGGTGTCCAGCATCACCGTGTAGATTACAGAATGCAACGCGTTCAGTGAATTTATCATCATATGTCCCAGAGGGGCAGAACCAGGCGATCTCCACCACTCCATCCATCAGGACTCTGGTTCTGCTGCTGCCTGGGCAGTTCCTGTGGAAGAATGTGTCATGTTTCTCATTGATCAGCTTGTTCATCAACTCAGACTTGGATGAGGACACTGAGCCAAACCTGAAGAAGAACACCATTGGAGTTTCTGCCTTGTAGATCAGCTGGATTTGACTGATGATGTCTTTGTTGTTTTTGTTTATTATTTTCCAGCTCTGGTTAATTTCTCTAAATGTCCAGAGCGGAAACTCAATCTGATCTCTGAATATATCAGGAACAAGCAGAGGCAGTGCGTACCGGCACTGGGACAGTTTAGTGACCATCATCTGCTTCAGGAAACCATCAGCACAATGAAACACGGCCATCTGAACGTCCATTGGGTGAATAGGATCTGTGTTGCTCTGTCTTGTATAAGACGTTGATGTTTTTCCAAAAAGTGCACTAAACGCATCAACATTGCTTGCAGATGGTTGTTGGGCTTTTTGTTGTTTTTGTTTGTGATGCTTTGTAACACTAATACTTCTAGCTTTGTAGTTCATCATCAGTAATTTTTGTAAAAACATATTGACCAGTTCCTCCTCAGTACAAGACCCATGGGACTGTAATGAATTTGCAGTTATCTGAAGAACATCTGAAGCTCTCAGTTTGTTTCTCTTGACTTCAAGATTAAGTCTTTGAAAAATTTTCTCCACTTCTTTTCCCACATCTTTTCCTTCTGTTCTAAGGTCTTTGGCTGTATCGGCCTGAAACATAAACATGCCAATTTTACTCTTATGTCTAATTTTTGTATAGATAAACCAGTACAAGAAGCTGCAAATTGAAAACAGCAGGTTTTCTAACATATTTTCTGTAAACTTGCAATAACTTAATAACTTGTATAAAACACCAGCCTCATGTGTGTATAAAAAACAACACTTACCCTATGTCTCTCTGTTTTGTCTTTTGTGGTTGTGTTGTTGTCCATCTTATCTTCTATAATTGTGGTTTGATCTTGTAAAAAAAAAAATGAAAGAGAATATTTATTCTACAATGAATAACACGGAATAATGTTGGCTAATATGTAACAAAATTTTAGCTGTCATTTCCATTTTTTTGTTTAAACTAAATACTGAACTGTTGCTCCTTTTATGGACCGAAATAATTTCATTATTATATAACAGTAAATAACATTCACCTAAACACCCGAGTACTGTACCCTCAGTTGATGTATGACAATTAAAGTGTTCATGTTTTAAAGAGTTTTAATTGTCTAATTCTTTCCCACATTGGTGTATGTTGTAATGTCAGAGTCAGATCATTTAATTGAAAAAAAGTATCCAAACTTAAGTATGAATGTGTAATTTTGAGTAGAAAATGTATTCCAAATGTCACAAAATGGCAAGTTATTAAACCTAACAACAAAAGCAATGATAAAATGGTGTAAATACTGGAAAACTGAAAAATCAATTAATATTATTCATTCATGCCCCTGTGCATGATAGAACACCAGTATCAGAAAAGTTGAGTAGGTTTTACTTAATTTTATAATGTTGATATGATATTTACCCTTTAATAACAAGTTTGAATTGAGTAATTATATAGAATTTAATCAGTTTTTTTTAATTATTGCCTGAACTGCCTTTTTCATGTACAAATTAGCCTACATTTGTTTTTCTGTATCATTTACTTCACCACAAAATAATTTTCATCGGTGCTTAACTTTACTCCATTCTTGGTGCAATGCAATTGTCAATGCGGCAGCCATCGGCATTGAACTGAGACAGAGGGGCAGAACGAAGCCCTGCACCTTTTAAAGGATGAAATCAATGAGAAAGTGTCCATTGTTTATGCTGACCGTACAGAGCTGGAGCAGGACGCCACCGGTGTGGAGGTCTTCACCAATGCCCTGGCCTGAGGTGGTGCAAAAACTACTGGAGAAGCAGCCGCACAACCAATCAAGAACATATGACATCGAGACACACAGCTACGAGACCCCCGAGAGGGCTGCCAGAACAGTCACGCAGTTCATGCAGCCTGGCCAGTGCGGTCTTTTAAATCAGAGAGCCTGGGCTGCCACAGTACATGAAAATAACAGGCCAGCTTGTGTCGAGCCAGTGGGGGTAGCTGTTTGCTCAATCGACTCGCCAGAGAGGGCTCCCAGATTTAATCAGCAGTGGCACCAGAAGAGAGACACAAATAAAAAATATGCCTATGGGGAATGTTCAGTGCCACAACTGCTCCGGTCTAGCGCATATCCAAAGAAACTGCCCTTCCGCCCGTCAACCCAGAAAGCAAGGCCGGACAGTCAATAAGATCACAGCACCTGACAGGTATAGTGGTCACCTGTACTACGAGTAAGGAAGATGACATGTGTTAAAATATGGACTGGAAATATATATGGACTGGAAATGTGTGCTCTGCTTGATTCTGATGAATGTGTTGCCCCTCCACCTCTTTAACTCCATTCCCGCAGAGTCCAGAACCCCAATAGAGGCATCTGTCGCACAGGTCCTGCAGGGCATTGGCCCCAGTAGTCTGGCAGTGCTGGGGGAAGTCAACCTTCCAGTAAAGCTTGGGAGCAGAGCTACCAATGTGAACTTTATTATGGCCAACACAGCATAGAACACAGAGGTTACCCTATCACTTCCTACATCAGACAAGTGCCCAGCTGGACTATGGTCACTGTTAGATAACCCTCTTTGGAGAAAAGGTACCTTGTTTTAACACAAGCCATCAGCCCCGGGTGCAAATGGTCAAAGTGGCCCACACAACAGTGTTGGAGTCAGGGTGTGAGTATGTAGTGCCTGGCACCGCCCACCTGCGCCATGCTACTGAGGAGGACCTGATGCTGAGCCCAACCAAGGGTTTCATAGAAAAGCACCACGTTCTTGTGGCTAACATCGTACAGTCGCAGTGCTCCACTAACATTCCTAGAAGAGTTTTCAATCCTGGTTCTTTACCGGTCACTTTGAAGAGAGGTGATGTGGCAGGGATTCTACATCTAGCCACAGTGTTGGGGAAGGTGGAGCCCCAGCCACCCCTGGCCTCCCCGGCCCCTGAACCTATTTAGTCTGTCTGTGTTTCTTTACCCAGCCACCTGCAGGTCCTATATGATGAGAGCTGTGCTAGTCTGCCCAAGGGAGACCAGGCGAGTTTGGCCCGCCTCCTACGGTCTTACAGTGACGCCACGGGGCCCACTGACCTTGGCCGTACTGGCCTCATGCAGCATAATATCCTCACCACCCTTGGTCCGCCTGTGAAACAGCAACCGTGCAGGATGGCTAAATCAGCAGAGTGCAACAGAGCCTGGACACTGGTGTGGCCCAACCCAGCAACAGCAGCTGGGCTGCACCAATAATTATGGTGAGAAAGAAGTACCAAACGTTGCGGTTTTGTGTCGACTACTAGCCTGGCTAACGCCAGACCACGTATCATTGAGAATGAAACGTGGTCTGGAAACCACATGTTAAATTTATGGTATTTGAGGCGTGGTTTACGAATGCCCAGAGCCGTATTATTGGGTGCTACGAATGTCTATCAAATGCCCCTGTATGTCTATCAAATGCGCTTGTGCTCCCTCCCCGTTCTGTGATTGGTTCCCTATTTCGGCAAGGCAGAATGGGGAAACCCAGGCTAGTCGACTACAGGGTACTGGCAGGTAGAGATGATGCAGAGAGCCCTAAAAGCCTCTGCTTTCTGCACCTGTAAGTGCCTGTTCAAATGGAATGTGATGCCTTTCAGACTGTGCAATGCACCGGCCACATTCCAGAGGCTCATGGACAGTGTCCTGGTCGGGCTGCAGTGGGAGACCTGTTTGGTCTACCTCGATGACATCATTGTCCTGGGGCGGAACGGAACTGAAATGTTGGAGTGGCTCAGTCAAGTGTTTGGCAGACTACGTGCACCAACCTTAAACTTAAACCTTCAAAGTGTGTACTGTTCCGAGAACAAGTGGCTTACTTGGGGCACTTTGTCTCCACCAAAGGTGTTGCCACCAACCGGCTGGCCAGCACCCCAAAAATCTGAAGTGCTTCAGTTTGTCATCCTGGCTTTCTTATTACCAACGCTTTGTCAAAGATTTCGCCAAAAAGTATGCACGCTTTAACTGGACGAATGAATGCCAGGAGGCATTTGAACAGCTGAAAAGCCAGCTTACATCACCACCTGTGCTGGGCTATCCCCTCGACAGTGGCCAGTTGCTCCTCGACACGGACGCCAGTGACTAGGGAATTGGAGCAGTCCTCTACCAAGTGCAAGAAAGTGAGAAGATAGTCCTTGCCTATGGGAGCAGGAGATTGTCAGCCACTGAGCAAAACTACTGCACCACCAGATGAGAACTTCTGGCAGCTGTCGAGTTCACCTCTCATTTCCGGCAGTACCTGCTAGGGAGATCATTCATCAAACGGACTGACCACAGCAGTCTGCGCTTGTTGACTCGGTTGAGGGAGCCTGAGGGCCAGCTCGCTCGCTGGCAGAGTACGACTTCCAGGTGATCTATCATCCAGGGAGACACCACCAAAATGCAGACCCACTCTCCAGAAGACCGGGATGTCGTGCTCATGTGCAGTGCCAGAGCCTAGCCTCAGTAACCAGCTTCAGCACTTAGGGATTCAGTACAACATGGCTGAGAGTCCAGCTGCAGAGGATGCGGAGGAAACTCCTGCAGAGCAACCTCCAGTGGGGGTAGTGGTGCCCGAAGGTAGCTATGGAGGCAGCCCCGCAGTTGAGCATAAGTATCTTCCAGTGGGGGTAGTGGACACTTTCAGTGACAATCAAGCTGGCTCTTCATTTAGTCCAGGTGTCTACAGGGTGAGTGAGCCAGCCCAAGCCAACCTGTTCGGTGGTTGGACCCGAGAGCAGTGCCCAAGAAGCTGACCCAGTTATAGCACCAGTGAGGAAGTGGATCGATGGGAAGGGGCAGGCCACCCTATAGCCCTGCCATGAAAGCCTACTGGTCGCAGTGGAAAAGGCTCTCGCAGAAAGACAGAGTTTTGCGAAGGAAATTTACTGCTCGGATGGAAGAGTGTTCTATCCACAGATCCTGCTGCCTCAAGAGAACCGCACCTCAGTGACAGAAAAATTGAACTATGGCCCAGTCAGTGGCCATTTTGGAGGTGAAAGGACTCTTGCACGCCTCAAGGCCCGGTACTACTGGTACAATATGAGAGATGATGTCAGTGTGGCCACACTTGCACCAGCTATGCTGCGAAAGCCCGCCCCAAGAAAACACCTCAAGCCCCCATGCGGGCACAGTGTGAGTTGGTGCCCCCTTTTAACGGATCGCAGTTGATACAATGAGACCATTAAATGAAACCGAAAGGCACAACCGCTAAATAATAGTGGTTCTAGACTACTTCAGCAAATGGGTGGATGCCTCTCCTGTTCCCAACGAACAAGCAACGACAGTGGCTGAAAAGATTGTTTCCGAGTGGGTGTGTAGGTGCGGAGCTCCACAGTGCCCACACAGCGACTAAGGTACCAATTTCGAGTCAGCTATTTTCCAGGAAATGTGTGACCTGCTGGGAATCGACAAGACACGGACCACGTCGTTTCGCCCACGGTCAGACGGCCAAGTAGACAATGCCACCCTGCAGAAAATTATAGCCACTACTGCAGAACGATGTCATTGGGACTGGGACATTATACGCTGTCATGGCTTACCATGCAACCAAACACTGCTCCATGGGCCTGACAACTAATAGGATGCTGTTCAAACGGAATATTACAAATAATCTTGTTGCTGGGCTGCCACCTGACCCAGAGAACACCACAACCCCTCCATCCTATTTTGTACAGCTCAGGGAATGGCTCAAGCTATCTCACCAGTTGGCCAGGGAGGTTCTGGGAAAATCTGTCGAGCATGCCAAGCGACAGTATGACAAAAATGTTTGCAGAGTCCAACACAGATTCGGTGATGCAGTATGGTTCCTGGTCAAAGGCACAAAAGAGAGTAAAGAATAAAGTGTGGAAGTTCTTGCCTTCTTCGTGGGTATACTGGACTATTTGTTCTA